CCTCGTGCAGCCGCTCGTACAGCATGCCAGGTGCGTGGGCAGGCTAGAGGGGCACTGGACACAGTCCTCCAGCGCAGCAGGCTCTGGGACATGGCAACCCTCTCTTGTGCCCTGCACGGCGGCAGGCGCTGCTTTGGTGAGGGAACCTGGGAAGGGCTGGAGACCCACCGGCCATGCATGGGCAGCCCAGCAGCAGAGCTGAGCTCCAGCCTGCACTGGGCACCCTAAGCACCTGGCACAGCTCCAGCGGGAGACCTAGAGATCTGGAGAGGATGTCTGCAGCAAGCAAGCAGGGAAGGGAGGAGAGCCCCTGTGCCTTTCCATCTGGCTGGCGGACAGCCAGGTATTGGAGTAGACCCCTTGTGTCTTCCCATGTGTTTGGCGAACAGCCGCCCAGCAGCCAAAGCTCCACAAGAACAAAGATTTGCTTTTAGAGACGGAGAAGGGGGTGGGGAGTAGCACAACCCCTACACCAGCCTCCTGCAGAGCCGAGGTGTGTGGGAAGGCAGCGAGGAGTGTGGTTGACTCGGTGGTGCACACTCCCCAGCACAGAGCCCCCCGGCACAGAGCAGCGAGAGGAGGGGCACCACAGGGGTCTGGAGCCACATGTGGGATGCCTGAGATTTCCGCAGGTTTCTGTTCCCCTCTCAGGGAAACCAGCTGAGGCCAGATCCCGCCTGCTCCTAGCACATGCTCACATGCTGCCCTCCTCTGCCTTGGCAAGGCCACCCTTCCTGCACAGGTCCCTGAGCTGGGGTGGCCTTTTTTTTTTCCCCGGCTCCCCTTCCTCCTCACAGAGAGGAGAAAACAGCATGTAGAGCCCTGGTCCTGCAGCAAGGCACCACCGCCAGCACCCAACAGCCTCCGTCCCAGGCCTTGCTGTGCTGGGGATGGAGAGGGAAGCAGGACTCTACTGCAGCAGGGACCAGCACCACGCCCCCCCTAATCAAACCCCACTACTCAGCCATGTGCACCAGGAAAGGCTTACAACCCCCAGCCCTGCAGAGAGGTGACAACACCGACGGAGACCTCTCTG